GATAGATAGATAGATAGATAGATAGATAGATAGATAGATAGATAGATAGATAGATAGATAGATAGATAGATTTAATAAAATACACAAAAAAATGGGGAAACAATAAACCGAACATCATACTATTAAAATGTATTCCCTGGATAACATCTTTTGTTTTTAATCATTGTTATTTTCTGTGTAGTTTCTGAAGCGTGAGCTGCGAGGTCAGGTGATAAATGTTACTTTTCTAATCGCTGTAACATACTAACCAAAGGACAGTCGTTTGTGATTACAGGAAATGCCATTTTATTGAATTATTCTCTAAAGATTTCTGGGGTGGGTTTGTTAGATAAACCGTGTGTGACTGCAGTGCTGTAGTTTTTCTGACCGATGAACTCTGGTCAACTGTATTGAGCTGTGAATGTGTGACAGGCTCAGGAGACGACACAAGAGCTTGGGGCCCTCCGTTTGTGGGTGAAGAGAGTGCTTATTTTCTGAGTGTGAACAGAAACAAAAAGGTACACTCCATTTTATTCATATCTTATCAATTTTTGTAACTTTTAAAATGCATGGGATTGTGATTTCTGCTATAGTAACTGTGCTTTCTTTCTTGCAGAGCATCGCTGTTAATCTTAAAGATCCAAAGGGCACCAAACTTATAACTGAGGTAAAAGTTCGACACTCAGTGTTTTTATTCTTTGATGCATTACATAACTTTTGTTGTTCGATATATTTCGGCTTGAACACCTCGTCTCTCGCACTGCATTGTCTCTTTTGTCAGCTTGCCAAAGTCTGTGATGTTCTGGTGGAGAATTACTTGTCCGGGAAGCTGAATGAGATGGGACTTGGGTACGAGGAGTTGAGTAAAGTGGCCCCTCAGCTCATCTATTGCTCTATAACGGGTGAACACAATATTTACAATATGAAAAGATTTCCGCTGTAATTATGACAGTCGCTTGTTTTTATATATTTTCCCCATCAAAAAAGTGGGTGTATTGAATTAAATACTTGGTTAAAATAACCATGATTCATTTTTATTATTACAACTAAAGAAACTTAATCTGTTTATTACTTAACTATAATGAACAGTAAAATCTAATTATTAACTTTGATAAACAGTGTTCTTAGTGTTTCCGTCCTGTGACGAGGCAGCCCGTGCAGAAGCTACCAGGACTAGCTTCTGCATTCAATGCCAGATACCAGTAATAACCAGGGGAAAAAAAAACTTTTTTGCACAATTCAGGACTTTTAGTTATAAACAAGCCAGAAATACATTTGGACTTTTATTTTGAAATGTTACCATTGTCAGCTGCGCATTCAAAAAGAGGAGACAAAATAAGCATAACATACAACATATTACTATATAAACACCATAAAGTAAACATTATTTATGATATACTCTTAGTTATTATGACTGTCTCTTGGCATAAATGCATGTTATTTATTGATTGTAAACCACTCTGATTGCCAAAGTCTGTATGTGCAACAGCACCGCATTTTGACATTGAACGAGGATCTCTGACATAATTTTTATGAAATCATAGTCTTTTGAATGTTAATAAGTTTTTCCATCCCTAAATTTAAGACCTCTTTAAATGATATATATATATATATATTTATATTTAAGACTATTTATATTAAGTATATTAATACTATTATATTAAAACATTTAAGACTATTTACCTTTAAATTGGATAAAACTGATGTTTTTACAGAACTTAAAGACCCACGGGGACTTTTTTTGTTTGCAAACATGCTGCTAAATAGATTTTACAGTTCGCACACATCTGTTTTTAGTTGCAAATGAGGGTAAAATGCTTGCAATATCAAGCCCTGGTTAAAAAAAAAAAAAATCATTATTTTCAATATTTTATGATTTTATTTTATTATTATTATTATTATTATATTATGTGAGAAATTATATGAGAAATAGTTTACATCTTAATGGTTTTAGCATTTTAATTTAGATTGGATTTAGATTATTTTAACATATTAATAATATATTTTTTAATTTAAATACTTTTGTATTTGTATTCTTGAGGCCCCCTAGTGGACCCCGGCTCCCTGGTTGAGAACCACAAGTGATGTGTCATTGCACATTTTTGCAGCGTTTTCTCTCTTATTATGTATTTATGATGCAGTCCATGGCATGAATGAACGGAGAAACTGGGTGTGTTTGTATAAATGGAGGAAGACGGCGGCAGCAAAAAGCTGAGGTGTTCGTTACATTTACGTCTCCAGTTAAATATGTAAAAGCCCAGGTTTTCTGCTATGGTATTCTAAATCTGGCCTGCTTTTAACCCATAAACCCTAATGTTTTCAGTTGTATGGCCCTTATGAAAAGGCTAATTTACTTTACTGTCTGATGTTTTTTAAATCACACTCATAAACGAAGCCACGCTTTACTTGAAAATTGTTCTGTAGCCACACTAATCTGAAGCGGATGGGCACTGTCACCACGCTGGCTGCTTTGGTGAATGGTTTCACGTGTCAGGCACCCATAAATCCTGCAGTCAAGTCACACTTGATTAGGAAATGGAAATCAGCATTTCTGTAGACAGGCACACCTCTCTCTGTGTGTCAGAAACCTTATAAAAAGTCACCAGTTTTGGTCAAACTAACATGCATTTTTTTTCAGTTATATACAGTACGTATAAAATATTATACTACAGATTGCATCTGGATTTAATACTGTTTCAGAACTACTGAGAAATGTCTGTTTTTATTTACATGGGAGCATAGTATAGTTAAATTACAGCATCTATCAGCATGCAAAAAATTCAAACCATTCAAATAAGTTCAACAAACAATAATCTCATGTTGGCAGTGATCTTAGTTGTTACGTTGTGTCAACACTGCAATGGCATCTCTTGCGGTAAGCAATGAATTGCACTCAAAGACTGCATTTTTTCCTGCTGTTCTCTGTAAGATCACAAATCACAGCTGAATTCCCATGTCTCACGCTGCTTATAAAGACCTGGAGGCGTAACCCACAAGACCTCATTAAATTGTGGATGCTGGACAGTTAAATTGGAATGATTTACTGTGCTCATCCTGTATCGTTTAATTTTCCCCTTCTGAAAGGATTTTTCACTTTCTTCTTGAGTGTAAAATCAGTCTGGAATGCTTAGTTTCAACAAGTGCTATTTGATTTATTATTTGACCGATTTTTAGGACGAGCCTCTCTAGTCGATTGTCATCATTCTGCCTTCTGTGGTTTTGCTGACCACTTTGGTTTCCTTAAACCTGTGGATATCAGTATATTGATTGATTTCATTCACGCATTCATTCTCCAGAAAAGTCTAACAAATTAGATCAAATTAAAGCTGAACCGTTGAAGCAAACTGATCATTTCCCCCTTAATTACATTTGGCCAAAACTTAATTTGTACTGTATTCGATATTGTAGATAGGAATTTATTTTTAGGCTTTCTGTGGTATCTAAAGAATGTTTATTAAATTGAAGCCATGTCTGCTTGACAAAGTGAAAAAACTGAAAAAGTTATTAGATATTAGAAATCTAATCTAACCTATCTAACATAAAATAAACATTGCATGATGAGTATCTATTTTGAAACTTGGTAAACGTCTAAAATGGCGAGCAGCTCACAGGTCTTGTCAGCAAAGTTTCTTCAAATGTAACAATTAAAGTCATACAACAGTGTGATCATTTTGACATCATATGCTTTAGAAAAGCGACTTATTTTTACGCACCGAAAGTGTAATATTTAGCTGTCTCACAATGTGCACTGAACACCATTATAAATATATAAAATTCAAGGGTTAGTTCACCCAAAAATGAAAATTCTGTCATTAATTACTCACCCTCGTGTCGTTCCAAACCCGTAAGACCTCCGTTCATCTTTGGTACACAAGATATTTTTGATGCATCCCGTGATCTCTCTGACCCTCTCATAGACAACAATGTAATTATAAAAAAGTATTCTTTTTGTAGCTTCGTAAAATTACGGTTGAACCCCTGATGTCACATGGATTATTTTACCGATGTCATTGCTACTTTTCTGGACCTTGATCGTGGTAATTACATTGCTGTCTATGAGAGGGTCTCAGAGAGAGCTCTCAGAATTCATCAAAAATACCTTAATTTGTGTTCCGAAGATGAACGGAGGTCTTACGGGTTTAGAACAACATCAGGGTGAGTAATTACAGAATTTTTGGGTGAACTATCCCTTTCATGCTTTTTCAGCATTGTGATTCTCTTTTTACACAGTACATTAATACAGTCTTTCATAGTATTTATATTTTGCGCAATAAATATGAAAGATATTATTCAATGCATTGTACTTCTTGATAGATTTATATATTAAGTTGCTGAAGCAAGTGGCAAAACAATTAAATCTAGCCAAAATCCATATGTGGTGACTTTGAAACACAGTAGACTTTAATTATATGCGTTTATGGTGTAATTACTACATTTTTGTGTCCATCTATGTTCATTTTTTCCATGAAAAATGTGCTGTCACTTTAATCCTGCACATGCAGCACAGCAAAAATAGACGACTACATATGCACTGCTCCTGGATTGCATTGCCGGACCGCATCCGTGTGCAGTGTGAATGTGCTAACCTGTTAACATAGGGATGGAAAAAACTGCATACGCTCTGCGAATGGGCCTTAGATTGGGAATGTTGGATCCAGCACTAGAGGTCTGCTGTGGCCCTCTTGTTGAAGCCTTTAAATCTTTGCTTTAAGCAAATATCATTACCAGTCTCCTGCCCCACCACACGAACTGTGATTAATTGGACACCCCAATCAGGAATAAGGGAAGCCATTCATTTATAGCTGGTTTGTATCTCACATGCTTGCAGTTCTGCAGTCTTGTCTAATTTATTTGTAATGGGCCTTGCAGTGGCATGCTGTCAGTTGATTTATTGTCATCCTTTGGTTTATTGCTTCAGTCCTGAGGGGGCAAAATTGTGGTCCAGTAGCAATTTGGGAGTGACCCATTTTTTATTTTGGCCCAATTTCATCAGGAAACGGCACTGCGTATCCTATACATTGTGATTGCTTGTGCAAATCCCTGTGGAGGCTTAAAACCATGACTTGGCAGACTTTGATATGAGACATAATTCGCCTTGTGCTCCAAAAAAAGAGGTCCCACACATGGGAGATTAATCAGATGTTGACATCAGCGTTGTCAGGAACCTTGGGATTTGCCATTGCTGGCGTAACAATGACCAAACTTGGCCCGAAAGCATCAAATCTTTGTCTGTTTTTTTATTATGAAAAGTTTTTCTTCTTCCTTTCATCAAAAATATTACCATTTGGGTTTTTGGATCACCGTTGTAATTCTGAGCCATTTGGGTTTTTGGACGACCCGGTAGAACATTATGTTTTGAATGGAACATAGTACACTTTTTTTTTTTTTTTTTAGCGGTTTACCTCATCTAAAGCTTGTTAAAGTCATTTGCTTTTTTACTTTTGACTTCTCGTTTTATGTCAAATCATCCGTTTATTTACTAGCGATTTCACTGTTTAAACAAAACTAGTCCTTCCGTTGAGCCATAATGTTTAAGAGGATCGTATATTCAATGAAATGGTAAACACAGTGCTCGATATGTCAGCAAAACAAAAAAAAAAAAGGAATGATATGGAACGGGCGTTTTTGGGCGAGACACGCACTGTCTAGTCTGGTTAACGTGGAATAATCAGGCTTGGTTATACATTGATGTGTACAGAGAACGAGAACCACAGACTCCTGTTCCTCGTCTAGAGATGGTTGAGGTCTCCATGGTGCTCGGCGTCCACAAAAGCGACAAAGCTCCCCGTTTCTTTTTATTATTGGGGTTTCATTTCTTTACAGCAAATTAAAGAGGATTAAGTGGCGTCTGAGCACGCAAGTTATTTTCAGCATATGTGTTTCATTAGATGGGCCCTCACAC